TACACAAGCTGTACACTCACTACTTTACATTGTAGCAAAGTGTCATTTCTTCAGTGTTGTCACATGTGTGTGTGTGTGTGTGAATTTTCCTTTGGCTTGTATAAAGTGATCTATCTCTCTGTCTGTCTGTCTATCTGTGTGTTCTGCACATTTTTAAGTAGATAAAAAGGCTATACTCAGCTGATGTCCATAAGAATAATGGAAAAGGTTATAGACAGGTTCCCCTGTTTTGCCTTACAAGTGTTTATTTTTAATGTAAAATATATAAATTCAGGTGTCTAAAGTGTCCGTAGTGTATGAACGGGTGTGTGACTGTGTATGTGATTGTGCCCTGCGATGGACTGGCACCCTGTCCAGGGTGTACCCCGCCTTGTGCCCGATGCTCCCTGGGATAGGCTCCAGGTTCCCCCGTGACCCTGAAAAGGAGTAAGCGGTAGAAGATGGATGGATGGATGGATATAAATTCAGATTATTTCTATGGCCTTTTTGGCCTTAATATGGCCTTCTAGGATCTTGTATATACTTTTTTTTTTTTCTTTTTGCAGGCCATGGAGAGGTTGAGAGATGGTGCCATGGCAGTGGAGGCAGTGACTGCAGCTCTTATAGAGCTAGAGGTGATGGCTCAGTGAATTTTTGTCTTTCATCTAATCCTGTTTTTATTTTGTAACATTGGTCCTTATTAATCAAAGTTGTGAAAAAAGCACTGATGCATTGCATGCATGAAATGATATTTGAACAGATCTGCACTTTTGAATGAAACAAAAATGATCAGTTATTTGAGCACAAATGATGAATCAGCCTCCTGCCCACCAGTCCCTTCATGTCCCCCTGTGACATCTCAGCTTACCCTCCTATACATTTAATTCATATGAAACATGCTGTAGTTTATGGTGGTGTTTTGCAATAGTGAATGAAAGGAAAGCTTTCAGTCAGCTAACCAGATATGAGAAAAGAAAGAGGAGCCTGTTTTATGTAAAGTTGCTTAAACCCATAATCAACTAGGAGGCTGAACTGTTTTTCAACATCAACTGTTGGTAAATACACTCTATTTATTGCTGGCGTTTTATTCATTTTAGATTCAACGTAAGCATTATGCTTTATATTAAAGCTATATTTATAAATATAGGTGTGCCAAGTTTTCATTCTGAATAAACATGCAAAAAATGATTTCATATAAACAAAATACTAAAAGAACTTTTTAAAAATTGCAATCAGCATTTTAGTGGCCAAGCACCCAGACTCGGTAAGCCGCACATTCACAGGCACACGATTGTTGCCTAAGGATTTAGAACAATAGCAAAGCCATAACTTTAGGCAAAGGGATTCAAGAGTGTTGTATTCTTTCACTCATGGTGTGTATGTTTTGGACATGGACATTGGCGGAATTCTTTGACTGTAAGAGGAACGGTCTACGTGAACAAATGGGCCGCAGGGTGGCATTGCATATGCAGTCGCCGCTACTGCTGTGACCTGTGGTGTTTCCTGTTGCTACTTTGACCTTTAAAAACCTCTAAGGTATTTATGGAATTTTAGGCATGCGGGAGAACGGTTTTCAATATCAAAAATGCCTCTGATAAATTTTGTGCAGACAGGTCTTTAGATGATATGATCCAAATTTGATGATTTTTGAGTGTACTTTGTAGAAGGAGGAGTGAAAACATTGATTAAATCTAATCATTTTTTACAGTTCATTTTAACTTTTGACCTCTAGGTGGCACTGTCATGAAATTTGTTGCGTAGCCTCAGGTCATAGTCCTGAGAACACCTACCAAGTTTCATGATCGTGTGTAAAGTTGTATGAAAACAGCGTCTGTTCCTGATTGGCGACTTCGTTGCCAGATTTTTTGGCTTGTTACAAGCGAATGGTTTTGAAAATGAAAATTCCATCAATTTCCATTTTGTTTAAAAAAATAAAAAGTCTAAGATGCCCAAAAATCTAATTAGGCAGAAACCAATGTCCTAGGTTTCATTGGATGGTTTTCAGGATGATCAAAGGCATTTAATTTTTTTTTTTCAAAAGTTATGGGGATAAATTTACTTTGAAATTTGGCCAAACTTGAACCTGTTGGTGGCCTTAGAGCTTTGGGAGCTTGGGGCCCAGATTTGGCGTATTTGTAGCTAAATGTGTCCTGAAGCTGTGTGCCTTTTTACCACATGGTTGTATGGGCTTCCATAGACATCCTGCCACAATAAAAAAATAATAATAATAATAAGCAGGATCTGTAGAAAAATTATAGGTGCCTTGCACCGTTAATAAGAATATTAATGAAACACTGAAAAGCAGACTACCATAACTGTTTCTGCCTAAAACTCTGAATGCACAGCAGCTATATTTTGCTAAAGAACTAACGAGCTGATCCACATCAAATATTATGGCAAAATGAATGTACATAAATTCCACTGTCATTTTTGCTATTTATCAATTAATTTTTTTTGTGCAATTGTATGGTGCTTATGTGCATCAGTGAAATAATAAATAGACATGAAGTATAAAACCATGGACATACTTTGTGTAGATTGAAATGGTTTTTAAAATGGATTTGAATGAATTTTGTACAGTGGTGCTTTGTACAGAATTTTCCATCTGCATAATAAATATGACCTGCAACAACATCAGATTTTCACACAAGTCCTAAAAGTACATGAAGAGAACCCAATTAAACAAAATGAGACAAAAATATTATACTTGGTCATTTATTTATTGCTTCAAGACGAACACCATCATCCCTGTGCCAAAAAAAAAACCCATCCGTGTCCTGCCTGAATGACCACCAGCCTCTTGCACTCACATTTATCATCATGAAGTGCTTTGAGCTAGTCATGAAACACATAAAGAGCAGTCTTCCCACCACACTGGACCCATTTCAATATGCATACAATCACAACTGCTCAATAGAGGACACCATATCTGCTACCATCTGTCTCTGACACAACTAGACAAAAGGGACAATGACATAAGGTTGCTGTTCATTGACATCAGTTCAGCATTCAACACAATCAGCCCACAACAACTGATAATAAGGCTGAGCTTGCTGGGTTTAAACACCTCCCTCTGCAACTGGATCCTGGACTTTCTGACTATGACACCCCAGTCCTTCAGGATTGGCAACTCCACCTCCAGCACCACCACACTGAACACCGGAACCCCCCAGGGCTGTGTTCTCAGTCCACTGCTGTTTAACCTGCTGACTCTTGACTGTGCTGCAAAGTTCAATTCCAATCACATCATCAAGTTTGCTGATGACACTACACTTGTGGGCCTCATCAGCAACATGATGAGTCAGCATACAGGGAGGAGGTGAACCAGCTTGCAGAATGGTGTAGAGACAACAATCTGTTTCGTAATGTTGATAAGACTAAAGAGATGATTGTCGATTTCAGGAGAACCCAAGTGGACCACTCTCCATTGCACATCAACAGAACAACTGTGGAAAGAGTCAAAAGTGCAAAGTTTCTTAGGGTGCACATGACAAGGACTTCTCCTGGTCTCTCAACCCCAACTACCTAGTCAAGAAGGCCCAGCAGCACCTCCACTTCCTGCGGAGGCTGAAGAGAACCAAACCCGCCCCTCTTATACTCATCTCCTTCTACAGAGGGATGATGGAGAGCATCCTGAGAAGTTGTCTCGCTGTGTGTTATGAGAACTGCACAGCCTCTGACCGCAAGACCCTACAGCGAATTGTGAGGACAACTAAAAAAGATCATTGCCATCAGTTTTGCTGCTATACTTGTGCTGCTACATGACACAATAGCTTTCAGTTTACAGTCCATGTTCTGTCTATCTATTGCCCTGTATATTTATTGTTTTGCACTTGTCTCACGTGGCTGTATATTGCACTTTATGTAGTCTTGTGTACTGTTCTGTGTTGCACCATGGTTCTGAAGAAATGTAATTTTGTTCCAATGTATACACGCTATATAGAGGAATGACGATAAAAATGGACTTGACTTGAAAATGATCCAATATTACGTCTGTGAGTGGCAAAGGGATGTGCTTAGCAATTAATGTGAAGGTAGAATTAGATTCAGGTGTTTTCAATCAATGAGATGACGATCAGGTACAAGTGGGCACCTTATTTTATTTAAAGAACAGTGATCCAGCGTAGTCTGTCCTTCACAATACATCTGTGTAAGTGTATCATGGCATGAACAAAGGAGATTTCTGAGGGCCTCAGAAAAAGAATTGTTGATGCTCATCAGGCTGGAAAAGGTTACAAAACCTTTTCTAAAGAGTTTGGACTGCACCACTCTACAGTCAGACGGATTGTGTACACATGGAGGAAATTCAAGACCATTTATACCCTCCCCAGGAGTGAAGACCAACAAAGTATTCTCGAAGAGCAAGACATGGAATAGTCCGTGAGGTCATAAAGGAATTTATGAACTTTTTTAGGAATTTAGGAACTTTTAAGCAACTAACGGCCTCTCTCACATTGGCCTCTCTCACAATGTTCATGAGTCCACTATCAGGCGAACAATGAAGGACAATGGTATGCATGGCAGGGTTGCAAGGAGAGAGTCACTGCTCTCCAAAAAGAACATTGCTGACTGTCTGTAGTTTGCTAAAGGTCACATTGACAAGCCAGAATGCTATTGGAAAAATATTTTGTGGACAGATGAGCCCAAAATAGAACTTTTCGCTTTAAATGAGAAGCGTTTTGTCTCAAACATTTGTTTCACTTATAATTGGGTTCTATTTATTTGTTTGAAAACGTCTTTGAAAACCTGATGATGACTTGGATCATATTTAAGCAGTAATGCAGAAAATTCTAGGGTTCACAAACTTTTAAGCACCACTGTATGTGCTGTGTCTGGTGTAAATTGGCCTTTAGTCATAAACTATCAGAGTAACTTACAATGTGCTACTGAGCTTTGCTTATTTACATTTATGGCATTTGGCAGACACCCTCCCTTATCCAGAGCGACTTACATTTAACTCATTTATACATCTGAGCAGTTGAGGGTTACAGGCCTTGCTCCAGGGCTCAGCACTGACAGCCTAGTGGCACTGGGATTTGAACTCTCAACCTTTCGATCAGTAGTCCAACATCTTAACCACTGAGCTAGAACACTGGCTTGTTGGGTTTAGTAATTTTCTTTTTTTTTGTTCTTGTCTAATCACTGTGTGTTGCAACACCGGGTGCTGCTATTTGCTGCTAGCAGTCAAATTCTTGTGTAGAGTTTTATGTTTAATGTTTTATCAGGTTGCAGAGCGGCCAAAGTATGTGAGCACAATGTGGTAGTGTGGTTTGGGTCTATTACTTGTTTGTATTTGTTTGTTTGTTTGTTTGTTTGTTTGTTTAATGGAGCACAGAATCGGACCCAGTATTGGAATCAATGCCTCCCAATTTTAAGAACCTAAAATCAAATTGAATATCTGTATAATCAATATAAACAAATAATAAGTAAAGCATAACAGTAAAAGTTACATGTGGGAACCTTGCACTAAAATGTTGCAATGGGGTAAAGTTTCACTATGTAATTCATGTATTCTGACTCGCATTTATGGATATGGATTTTTATCAGCTCGTAAGTCCTTCAGTTGAGTAATTGAGCTCCGACCTTGACGCTGGCTATTGGACAAACGAACCACCCACCAGGGCTATTTAAAGACACTTGGAGATCATTGTACATTTTTTGAGCTTGTCAACCTTGTAGCAACTCTAAAACAGACCAGGTGCAATTGTATTCATTTTGATAGTATGTTTTTCAATATTTAATTAAATTCTTTCAGCATTTTATTACATGAGCTAAAGGTCTTATTTGTATGTTCAGGACGGCAATTTGGCTTGACGACATTTTTCAGTAAAGCTTTTTTAAATGTGACTAATTACAGGTGAGGTTGGAAAATGGTCCAGTTTTCTAGCTGCCTTGCTTTACACAGCACATTTACGTAACATTTGCAGCATCCTCAAATAAAAACACCTCTAACTCAGTTTCACTGAAACTTGCATAAATTCACTGCAAAAATAAAAACACCTGCATAAATTAGGGCATGATTCATGTAAATTAAATTTAATCTGAGGGCAAATTGAGGTGTGCATATGACACATGCCATATAAATGCGCAGTGGTATAGGAAAACCTGTCTTACTTGGCAAATAGCCAAAAATGTCCAAAAAAAACCCAACCTAGATTGGATTTTTCTGTCTATAACATAATTTGACAACTCATTTAAAATAACAAATTAAAATAACATTTTAATTTTAAAATAACAAGAGTTTCAGCAAAACCTCCTTGCTTAGGCTTTCTTGAAATATTTCATTAGGTAAATAAGGAGACAGTTTCACAAATACCATGGTAAAAACATTTGGTGTGCCTAAAGATGTAATGAATGAAATGTAAAGATGATAGTTAAAGGGTTAATTCACCCAAAAATGAAAATTCTGCCACCAATACCTCACCCTCATTTTGCTCCAAACCCATAAGACTTTCATAAAGGCATTATAAAAGTAATCCATGTGACTACAGTGATTTAATCCCAATTTTTATGAAGCAATATGAATGATTTGTATGTGCAAAAAGACTTCATTTAAATCTTTATTCACAAAATATCTTCACTCCTGCATAGATCTCCGATGTGCGTTCCTGAGAGAACCATGATGAATGCGTGATGTGTTGACACGAGAAGGGACAAAAAAAGTTTGAGACAGGGGACAGAAAAATGCAAGTCCTCTTCTATGTCAAAATCTGAAGAGTTGTTCTATGTGACTATGTGAGTTTGTGTACACCGTTCTTCTTCCTCTGCTGTAAACAGTGCAGCACTTCTGGTTCTCGTTTCATAAAATTGGGATTAAACCACATGTTACTTTTTTTTATGCCTTGGAGCTTGAAAGTTTTGGTTACTGGATGGTAAATGGAGAGACAGAAATATCCCAGGTTTCATTTAAAATGTCTTTATTTGTGTTCCGAAGATGAACAGAAGTCTTATGGGTTTGGAAAGACATGAGGGTGAGTAATTGATGACAGAATTTTCATTTTTGGGTGAAATGCAAGACTAATTATTTCAGTTTGTATACAGTCAAAATATTCGTCAATTTATAATAAATGCTGCTGTTTTCCATTTTAAACTTAGAATCTTTGCTAAATGTCACTAATGTTTTTTTTTTCTAAATAGATATAGTTTAAGAAAGATGACAACAAATTTATTGAGGACGCCAAATGTAATATGCAATATAAATATAATGAATTCTAATAATCTGTGAAGTTTATTTACCCTTTAAAAAATAGAATTAAGGATATTATTATTATTATTATTATTATTATTATTATTATTATTATTATTAAAAATGAAATGAATAATGAATGTGTGGATTACCGGTCAGAATTACTGGTTAGTCCTCTAAGCTATAAATAAAGGCTGGTATAAGGGAAGACATAGTTTTCTTGGTCATATTTATTTATTTATTTATTTTTTAGATTTTATTTATTCAATATGAAATTAAATGCAAACGTGGCAGTTTTTCAGAATAGAATCCTTAAATGCAGAAATGTTTTCACTTTTTACTTTTGAGGTTTACCAGACTGTAAAATGCTAACTTTACTAGTGCTTATGTCCGAAAAAGAATCACATTTAGAACTGTCTTTTCTTTACAGGATTCACCATTCACCAATGCTGGTACAGGCTCCAATCTAAACCTGGCTGGGGATATTGAATGTGATGCCAGCATCATGGAGGGAAAATCATTAGATTATGGAGCAGTTGGTGCTTTAAGCGGTGGGTTGATTTAAAGTTGTTTTTTTATATACTCAGAAATAAGCAATCTCTGGATTTTTTTTTTTTAGTGCTACTGCTAGGTGAAATAGTTGTTCTTGTTAAGGGATCTTTGAAGTCCAGCATGTTGGGTATTAGAGAAGAGTTTAATAACACACAGGAAGAAAAATGCACACAAGTCACAAAAGCATAATGTTAAATACAGTAAATGGGTATAATAGGAATAAAAGCATATGGGAAGTGACTCAAACAAAGTGTTTGTGCTGCACTATGCCTGTTTACCATGTCTGGTTTAAATTAGGCTTTACTTATTCAATTATTCCAGCTATTTCTTGATTCCAGTCCAATGTCAAAGCTGAAACATTTGTTCATGCGTTATTGTCTCAGAGTCAGATGAACCCTAAGTTCTGAATTGTACGTTTCATGGTATTTGCTACAAATGCCTTCATGCCATGTCACTTCTTTCCCATTTTCTATTCTCACCTTTGTGCACATGCCAAACCTAATGTAGATACAGTCACATCTACTGTTTTCTGTCCTCGAAAGATGCAATGGTCTTCTGTTTTATCTTCCTGTGCTTTCTCCTCACCACAGTGAGTGTATCCATTTTCTGTCTGAGCCCTATGCATCTGTGACTTGCTAGCTTACAGCAAGGACACGGGATGTAGCGGCTCTGAGGGTGCTGCAGCACATGAGACTTTGATTCCTTTAACTACAACTGCAGCTGCGCATATTATTGTGATTCCTCTGTCAGGAGGAAACCAATTGTTGTTGTTAGTAATCTTCTTCTTCTTCTTCTTCTTCTTATTATTATTATTATTATCATTATTATTATTATTATTATTATTATTATCATTATTATTATTTTCCTCATCTCCTTAAAGTGCCCAATAACTCAAGATCTGAACGGTAATTTTATTTATTTATTTTTAAATAAATTTGGCACATTGATTCTACAGGCCACGAGCAACTCCAACACCATAAATGGACCACATGTGCCCATAGGTGGTGCTACAGGCCACACCCAAAATTTTTCCTGTCTGAAAATTGGTATACTTACCTTATTTCTCATGGGGAACAAAAAAGCCATTGGGACTCCTAAAGTCTGCTATGATAGATTTTCCAGTACATTGAAAATTTGTCCAACATTACAAAAATCTTACCCTCATGAACTGTAGGTCTGATTGACTTCAACTGTGGTACATATGTGTGGGATACATGTCTTTCTACAGGGTAATAAGAAATAAGGAATCAAATAAAAAATTGGCCGAACTGTTTACATATTGGTGAATTGACAACTGTTGCACATGTTTCTTGCGTCCATAAATCAATGGCACATTAACCTATGGACATGATCTCTTCCACACACAAAGAAGACACTACAGTATGTTACCATTTGTGATGGCAACCTCATATCTCCCAAAAAAATAATGACATTAAAAGGATTAATAACTGTCACGTTATCTTTGATAATACAGTCATGGACGAAATTATTGGCACCCCTGTAACTTTTCCAGAAAATGCGCCATTTCATATACACATGTTTATTACCTTTAAGTGCATTGGAACAGCACAAAAAAGCAGAAGAAAAAAGGCAAATTTGACATCATTTTACACAAAACTCACAGTGGACAAAGGAATTTTAAGATCTCTGGAGATTGACTTGAAACCTTGAGATTGTTGATATTTTTCCACAATTTTGCTTCTTCTCAGACAATTCTCGGCTCTTCTTTAGAGCCAATAATTTCATCCATGACTGTATGTGTTCTGTTTAGCAATATCTTTATAGCTACATCCGCTAGATGTAGCTATTTGTTTTGGATCGAGCCAAAGTACACTCTGAGTTCAGCAGAGTAAAGAAAAAAAAACTCGTTTTCTTTGTGTAAAGCCTAGAAGAAGCTTTGCTCATGAGTTTGTTATTCATCTTTGTAGTTTGTAACCTTTTGTGATTGTATTTTGTGAGTTTTGCTGTTTGTGATCATTTTGAACAGTTCAATGTGCCACCGCAGTCTTCATCAACCTAACGGCTCTTTTAAGAGCCACCCACTTTTTCATACAAAGAGCAATCTCCTTTCTCTGTCTCTCTGTGCATGTGTGTCTGTGTGTCTGTCTGGTGGAGGGGAGCGGGGACTGTTATCTTTGTATTATGTGTTCTCAGTGTTGCAAAATAGGGTTATAGCAGCATAGAGTAAATCAAATTAATGTTATAGCAGCAAGAATAAATTCTAAATAATGTTAAAGTAGCATTGTAGTGATTCTCCAAATTCTTACTGATTCCTGATTTTTCTCTACAACGATCATTTGTGGAAAAACTACAAAAATGTTCTTAAAATCTGCCATTGATCCAAATGCATTGAAAT